GTGGCGTTCGCGGATGAGTCATGTTCCCATTGCGGGAAGATGACCATCTCGGAGCTGCGGGCCAGGCTCCGTTTCCTCCAGGGGGGCGGAGCTCCATTGCCTCTGCCGCGAACCAGTGTTCATCCTGGCGGCAGCCAGGCGAGGACTACTTCGGGCAGTAGCACACATCACTGAGAAGATTCGGCTGCTCTGCTGCCCTCCGGGACGGTGGCAAGGCCTAAATCGGATCCGGAGATGTCGGCTATGCTTTCCCGGGCTGCTGAGAGGGTAGGGCTCGAGTGGAAAACTCCACCGCGTCCTGAGCCCTCGAGGTTGGACAATTGGTTTCTCGGGGTGGCTCGCGCTGGTTCTCAGTGCCCCGCCTCGGTGCGGCTATGCTTTCCCGGGCCGCCGTAGGGGTAGGGCTCGAGTGGAGACTTCCACCGTGTCCCGAGCCCTCAAGATTGGATGATTGGTTCTTCGGGGTGGTCCGCGCTGGTTCTCAGCGCCCCGCCTCTGTGCCTTTCTTCCCGGAAGTGCATGAGGGGCTCACCAGTTCATGGACGGCACCTTTTACGGCTGGAAACCGACCTGCTGGTTCCTCCTCCCTCACCACCCTCGACGGGGTTGCAGCTAGGGGTTAATACGCCGATCCCCCTGGTGGAGCGGTCGGTAGCGACGCAGTTGTGTCCTAAGACCGCCTCCTCCTGGCAGGGTAACCCGTCGCTCCCCTCCCATGCCTGTAGACATTCGTCTGGTCTGACCGGCGGTGCTTATATGGCTTGTGGAGAAACTGCCTCTACCTTACACGCTATGGTGTTACTGCAGGTTCATCAGGCCAAGGCACTGAAGGACCTGCACGAGGGTGGTCACGATCCGGAAGTTCTGAAAGAGCTCCGAACCGCTACTGACCTCACGCTCTAAGCGACGAAGGTCATCACGAGTTCTCTGGGTTGTGCGATGTCCACACTTGTGGTCCAGGAGCACCATCTCTGGCTGTGTCTGGTCGACATGAGGGACGCCGACAAAGTTCGATTCCTCAATGCCCCTCTGTCCCAGACCGGCCTCTTCGGCGACGCGGTCGAGAGCTCTGCCCAGCAGTTCTCGGCTGCACAGAAGCAGACTGAGGCGATTCGTCACATCCTGCCCTGCGGGTTGCTGCTGCCTCCACCCGTCCGCCGGCCGCAACGCCCCAGCCTGCTTGTCGCCGAGGGCGGCTCCCTGAGGCCGCCCCCGCACTGCATCTGCAGCAGCCTCGAACAAGCTGTGCCGTGGAGCTGGGCGTAGGTAGGCCAGCGACCCATAGAGGGAGGAAGCTGCTCTTTGGGGGATGGTGAATGCACCTCTCCCTCCCCTGGAGTAGGGCCGGGTGGAGAATCTGGAATATCTCGACGCGAGAGCGGTTTTCTCTGTCCCTGGGTCCCAGGAGGGCACGGAGAGTCGCGGACGGTCCAACACCGGACCACACTCATCCTCCTTCATCGCCAGCAGGCAGCAGCGGGCGGTTCGAGAGCGTCAACAAAGGCCCTACTCATGCACCCTCTGCCAAACTGGAACCAGGTAAGCGTTGCACCGCACACTCAGACCCTCTTCGGTCCGCCCACAAGCCACCCAAGTTGGATCCATGCGTTCCACCTCGCTGCCCCACTGCGGGTACGGCAGTGGTTCCGCTGGTCCCGCTTGCATGGTATCTGGGTGCCTGGCTAGCGCTACCCAGCCCGTCTCGCTTCTGTGGACCATCAACCTCGGCTATGCGATTCAGTTCGCCCGGCGTCCCCCCAAGTTCAGTGGCATCCACTTCACGGCAGTGAAGGTGGCCGATGCTCCTGTCTTGCGTGCGGAGATCGCAGTCCTACTGGCGAAGGATGCGATAGAGCCGGTCCCTCCAGCCGATATGAATACAGGGTTTTAGTCAACCCTTGTGGTCCAGGAGCGCCGTCTCTGGCTGTGTCTGGTTGATATGATGGGCGCCGACAAAGTCCGGTTCCTTAATGCCCCTGTGTCCCAGACACTCTTCGGCGACGCGGTCAAGAGCTTGGCCCAGCAGCTCTCTGCTGCACAGAAGCAGACTGAGGTGGGTCGTCACACCCTGCCCCGGCGGGCAGTTGCTGCCTCCACCTATCCGCCGGCCGCAGCGCCCCAGCCTGCTCCCGTGCCACATCCGCAGCAGCCTCCAGCAAGCGGCGCCGTGGAGCTGGGCGTAGGCAGGCCGCCCCACCCATCCGGGCCCCCGTCAAACCTGGC